AGGAAGGAAGGAAGGAAGGAAGGAAGGAAGGAAGGAAGGAAGGAAGGAAGGAAGGAAGGAAGGAAACCATACCTTTTGCACCTGACTTGGTGTCCCACATCTGTACTTGGCAGTACCCAAGAGGTGGAGGCTGGAGGGTTAGTTCAAGGTCTTCCTCAGCTACTGCTACATAGAGTTCTTGAGGCTGATCTGGGCTTTGTGAAATCCTGTCTCAAAAAAACAAAAAGGGAGAGGGGAAGACAAATTCCCTCCCCACAACCTGCATTTGCTTCATATTACTGGGTACTCCGTAAACAAGAGGAGGAAGCTAGGGATACCACCTCAGCAAAGATGCTGTCTCCAGCAGCATGAGTCCTGGGAAGAAGGATTAGAGACAAGCTGACACTCCTGGGACACCTTTAAAGAGACATTTTTTTCCAGTTATGGTGACATTTTCCAGAGTGGTGAGATATATGAGATATGAGAAAATGTTCTGTCCATAAAATGTTTTCATGGTTCTTTTGTCTTTGCAAATTAACTTTTCTTTGAAATAACTGGTTACTTGTCTAGTCATTTACTCAGAACTGTTGCTTAGAAGCTCATGTCCATGGGAAAGATTCTGCTTGGAGCTTCCTAACCTTTATGAAGAAGTTGCAAGGCTTTTCCAGAGGCATTAAGATGGATAGATAGTTCAGTTGCATGTGGGGCAGCAAACCTTTGTGTGGACAGAGTTGTAAGTAGGGGTGTTATGGAAAGGGTATAGTGAGGAAGAGACATGTCCTCAGTAGTCATGTTGGAAAAGAGTGGAAGATGTTAATAATGGCTCTTCCTGAAGGAGCAGTGGGTAGGTAAGGAATGGGTCTACAGATTGCCCAACTCCAGGGAATCTTCACTAGGGTTGGATCCCGGACCTGATTGCCCAACTCCAGGGAACATAGGAGAGGTCAGGGACCTGACCATAGTCTTCTCTCCCTCAGTTAGAACCTGTATTTCTGCTGCAGAGTTGAGTATAGGGATGTAGTGGTTGGTTTGACTACACTGGTCTTTTAAGATTGAAAAGGCATTCATGATGGACTGCTTAGGAAGTGCTAGAATCCCACCCTACACCCTTTAAGAAAAGATTGTGTCATTTAGGACATGATTTTCTTTTTTTTATTTATTTTTATTCTATGTGTATGAGTATATTGTGTGCATGTGTATAAGTGCACCCATGTTGTGAAATGCCTGTGGAGGTTAGAAGAGAGCATTGGATTCCCTGAAACTGGAATTAACAGACAATTGTTAGCCACCATGTGGATGTTGGGAACTGAACCTGGGTCCTCTGCAAGAGCAACCAGTGCTCTTAACTGCTGAGCCATCTCTCTAGCCCCAGTCTTGCATTTAAGATTTGACTTTCTCAAATCCAAAGTTGCTAAGATAGGAAATATGATGTGTTGGGTAGAGTGTATAATGAGGACGCTAGGTGATGACTATTATTATTTAACGGCATTCCTATGGTAGGGGGAACAGTTACTAGTAAACTCTTAAGATAATTCCTGACTATCTCCTGGGAACTACAACAGATGTGAAATAAGAACCAAAGCTATTAAAGAAAATGATTTAAAAATTATTTATTTATTTATTTATTTATTTGTCTTTTTTTGAGACAGGGTCTCCCTGTAGCCCCAGCTGGCCTGGAACTCACTATGTAGACTAGGCTGGCCTTGAACTCACTGTCACCTATAAGACAAAAAGAACCTGTCTATATTGCCATCTGTCTTCTGGTCTGTACAGTGTTTTAAAAATTCTTTTCTAAAAATATTTATTATTTTAATTATATATATGAATGTATTGCCTGCATATAAGTGCACCTGTGTTGTGCAGTGCCTAGGGCGGTCAGAGAGGGCATCAGATCCCCTGGAACTGGAGTTATGGATGGTTGTTAACCACTGTGTGGATGCTGGGAATTGAACCTGGGTCCTCTGCAAGAGCAGCCAATACACTTAACCACTGAGCCATCTCTCCAGCCCCAAGAAAACCATTGTAAGCTGTTTTCTACAACATCTGTGCTTTGACAGGTCATAATAGCTCTGTTTTTCTTCTAAAAGACTTTTCTGGGGGCTGGAGAAATGGCTCAGGGGTTAAGAACACTGGCTACTCTTTCAGAGGACCTGTGTTCTATTCCCAGCACCCACATGGTAGCTAACAACTGTCTGTAACTCCAGTTTCAGAGGATCTGACACGATCTTCTGACCTCCTTGGGCATTGCATGACATGGTGCACTTACATACATGCAGGGAATATACTCATACACATAAAATAATATATATGTATTTTAAAAGACTTCCACCAGGTACTTGGATCCCTATTAATGCTGAAAACAGCAGCCTGCACGCTTGAGTTGGTGACAGGCACACACAGATTTTGCGATTAGATCAAGATACTACGTATCTCCTAAGCATCCTGAAGTTGGTGTGAATGTGTACCTCTGTTTCTGAGGTTGTTAATTACTTTGTTCCAGCAGTTTTCTGGCAGCCACTAAGTGAGCAGCAATTTGGCTGATACTGTTCTGGAATTAGACCCCCACAGGTCAATGACTCAGTCCTATAAGATTGCTCCATTTTAGATGCCAGCTGCAGGCCCTGGGTAGTCCCAACTTATCTGAACTTGTGCCCAGTAGACTGGATTCAGGGGTTCCCATGAACATTCCCATGTCAGGTTTGATAATATGCTAGCAAGCATGAGTCCCAGAACTCAAGCAATGCATGATATTTAGGATTTCAGTTTTGTTGTAAAGGTTGTAGCAGCCTGAGGAGTTTCCAGGGGTCTTTCTAATCAGGTGAAGCCAGGTTTTTTTCAGTGCCACAGAAAAGAATTTTAGGACAAGTCTGTATGAAGCAGAGTTGGAGTTTACTAAGAAGTTTTAACTAGGTGTAGTGACTCTCTCCTTTAATCCCAGCACTCAGAGGCCAGAGGCAGGCAGATCTCTTGAGT